ACACCTACGTCAGCGAAAGCTGTAGAAAACTTTTGCCCTTGACATTTTTGCAGTCTAAATGATGATGACATCGGTAGAGACAGTCGCTGACATTCGTGGAATGCCAGAGAATAAAACTTTTGGCGAGAAAGAGGGAGACAGCTCTCTCTCTCTCTCTTGCTATCTCTCTGGCAATGCAACAGCTATTAATTTTGCATTGTTGCTTGGGTGTGGATTTTGTGGCATTTGTGACAGAAGCCATGCAATGCACTCTCTCACTCACCTTTCGCTCACACTCTCCCTCTGTCATATCAAATGTCAATGTCTCCTCTGGCTCTGCTGTGTGTACGAGTATCTCTGTTTGCTCAGTCTAGACATTGTCTAGCTGCCATTATCAACACATTTATATGAAATTTAATCTAATAAAATTGTCAAATATGCACGCACCAGTCTCTGTCTTAAAGCAGACCCTCTCCTCTACATCATTTTATTGACCTTCAAACGTGGCGTAAAGAGAAGCTGCCCGAGAAAGTATGCTATACTTTTTGCATAATTCATCATAACAGATCCGGGGGGGGCCCTTTTACAGCACCTGAGAGAGAGTGCGATCAAAATTTATGAATTTTTATGGCTGCCATGTCTGAGATTTTATGCCACGCCTCCCTCTGTCAACTGAACGCCTTCCTCTGTCGCGTTGACAGTTTCTGGCTATTTCTCACCCTTATTCGCTTATTTCTTTTCATTCTTTTTTGTGTTGGTTAGCTTTCGCACCTTAAGAGCAAAAACCGTAACCAAAACCCCAAAAACCAACGTAGCACGCTTTCAACTTTCAATGTGCTTTGCATTCGTAAATAGTTCGGTGTTGGTTTTTCCTTTCTCTCGATACCTCATAGCCCTAGGGCACTGGGGGTATATGAGGCATTACATATTAGAAATGTGTGACAGACAGAAGGAGACTTTTTCTATGCTAGAAAATAATTTATAAATATATATTTGGATCGATATAAAACTTCTGAGATAATGGCAACGAATCCAAAATCGAAATTTGGAGCATATTCCAAGCATGTTTCGTTTAGTTCTCAAAAGCAATTAGGTAACAGCCTGTGGGCTCTACAATATTAAATTTATGGTAATGGCTTTTAATTAAGTTATCTGTAGAGATATTATCAACCTTACATATATACCAAAAATCATCTAAAGGATATAATAATTACAGTCAGCATACGAGAGACATTCTTAGATTTTAAGAAATTATGAAAATAGTTTTGGCAAACAAAAATTCTGTCAATGAACAATTTTTAATTTTTGTTTTCATTAATATCTTTCAACCTATGCAAATCTGTTTGTGGGAACTTAAAGCTTAAAGATACGCGAATAATATTAAATCAAATTAGATATATAACTATTATCATCCAACCTACCAAAAATCATCAAAAATTAATCAAATTTATAGCCAGAAAATAGGGGAAAAAAATTTAAGGATAACAAAATACTTTTGAATCTAAAAAATTTAGATTTATTTAGAAAATAAATAGATCTCAAATATAAAATCCAATAAAATATAATTATGTTTTGCATAAATAGATCTAAAATCCAATCAAATATAATGAGCATACCTTAGTCGTAATATACAAACAACCGCTACCGTTCTGGTCTAGTCCCCCAAACCGGAAGGCAGTAGTACCAGAGTTGGGGGCATTTCGGAGGGAGTAGCAGACGGACTGGCACGTTGTGGCGTTGCGAGCGACTGACTGTCACCGGAAAGTTAATTTCGCGTTGTATTTATTATTTATGTGCATTACTTGGGCGCTCTTAGAAGATTTTCACTTAACGTCGCCAGCTGCGGTGTGCGGCATTACATTTTTTTTATTTCACATTTTTTTTTTTCATTTCTGTTCATTTCTGGCTTTGAAAATGTGTTGACGTCGGGTTTCCGCAGGGAAAGCTTGTGATTTATGCGAGATTTTTCAGGGGCAGATTATACAATACAAAAATATTGAAAATCTGCCCAGAATTTAAGCCAAAAATTGTATGTATTAAATAACTGATATACATTTGCAATTTAATAGATTTTCAGCAGTCACTGAAAGGAGTCTTAGCAATGTCTTAGAGGAAAATTAATTGACAGTGGTGCCCCCCATTCCGATTTGCAATGAAAATTGTACACATCTTGGCGGGGGGGAGTTGGGTATTGGGGGGATGTCTTTTGTCTAATTGGTTTTGCGCCTAAAATGGGTTAATGATGGCAGCAGGAACCAAAGTGAATCTCTGGTTCGATTGTCTGCTGCTTAAAATCGTATTAATTAACACTCATTTGTAAAGTGCCAGAGCTCCACCAATCACAGCCGCCATCCTTTCCACCTTCTACCGAACCAGTGGAGTGGAGTTCTTTGTTCTTCGTGGAAAGGGGGGAGTGAGTTTCGTTTGTAAACGTAATCATTTGGCAAATTTGTGTGCCTGTCTCTCAGTCTGTCTGTCTGTCTGTCTGTCTGTCTGTAGGTCTGACTGTGGGGCGGCTTGCGGTCGTTTGGGTAGAGTGATGTATATGGCAGAAGGTGATGGCGGGAACTGGTGGCAAGCTTAAATTTGCTTTTAATTAGAGCTCAAGTGGTGGAGCAGCGGCAGCAGGCACAGTAGCAGCCGCAGTAGATGAAGAAGAACAAGGAACAGCAGCAGTAGGAGCAGCTGTGAAAGGACGAGCAGCAGTAGGAGCCAAGCAGCACCACTTGGCACAGCATGAGGCTGCCATCTGTCTTTGCGACTTGCGAACAATGCGTCAAAGTGTTGTATGCAAATAAGCAGGAATGGGCCGGGCGGGGCGGGGGGGGCGGGGGGATGGTGAGATGGGAAATCTCTCCTTGCCTCTTTCCCCTCTTCCCACACTGCTGCTGCAAAATGGCGGCGGACGCGCTCAACGGACATGTTTGATTACAAGTGCATGTTGTGCATGCATCATGGCTGCAAAAGCCTGGTGGTCGGTCGGTCGGCTATGCCTCTGCCTCTGCCTCTGCCTCTGTCACAACATGAGCTGCATATTAAATGCACAGCACAGGACAGCACAGAACAGAACATTATGGAGCATTCGAGCAGAGAGTGGCAAGCCATAGATAGACTCCCTCCAGCAGCCGGAAATGCAACTAAAGTGACGACTCCAAGTGCGGTCAGAATGTTGCACAAATGCTGAGAGGGTATGGGCACAGACTTGATGAAGGTTTGCATGTGCATATAAAGCGATAGCTGATGGCAGCCAAAACCCAATGCAAGTTGTTCTTAGGGTTTTGATAAGGTATTTGCATTTATTATTTGATTTGATTTAAATTTCACTCCAGAGAGGAAAGACCACACAGCCCACTTACGCTCATTATTCTGTGAATTATAAAAGAAAATATAACATAAATCTACGCTTCTGGAAAACCTTTGCTTTTGAATGTAAGACAAGCACTAGGAAGGGTTCTGTCGAAGTTCAGTCGCCAAAGAAGCATGATTTTTTTTTTGTTTTTAAATAAATTTCTTAAACCAATCCAAATGCCAAATTTAATACTTAGATAAATAGATAACTTAGCACTATATAAAAATTCATTTTATTTAACACACTCGATTCCCATATGTTTCAGGCCCATGCCGTGCACTGCCATTTTTTGTGTGTCCCAAGCATATAATCATTTCATTTCATTTTCCATTTCCCCGTGCCCTTAATTCAGACTAATTTCATTTAATGCTCTCTCTCTCTCTCACATCACACACACGCCCCCCAATGTCCCTTTACACTGGCATTTCGAAAGACAAGTTAAAATGTTTAAAAAGTGTAATTAAACTGCAATTTCGCACTGACGGCACGACGACAACTCCGTTGCGTTGACATTCAGTGAAATGAACTTTCGCCCTGTTGGAAAGAGCAAAGAACAAATGACCTTAAATGAGGCAAAAGTCAGAAGAACGATGGCCACCAGTCTCCCAAGTGAAATCCCATTAAAATAAGGCAACAAAAAAATAAAGAGAAACGGAAATCCAGGCCCTAAGAGAGCAGCCAGCACATTGCCATATGCGCTTGTATTTTCATTAAAATCAAAAGTATAATTAAATTCTCGGACTCTCGACCCTCACCCACACTCTGCCAGACGACAGTTCTCTCTGCCACTCTGGAGACGCACATGCTGGGAATTTGTTTGTTATGACAGCAGGAAAACTGCTGTAAATGGAAGTTGCTTTCTTTCTGGTCGAGTGGAGGGGAATGGAGAAGGATCATCCCCCGACCATTAGGTCACATGTTAGAGCTGCAGAAGAAAAAAAAAAACACAAGTAATTTTGCTTATTGTGTTGCTGTTGCTGTTGCTGCTGTCCCGTCTCGTTGTTGGCTTTTAATGAAGTGCAGTGATTAATGCACTCACCATGGAGGAGACCGCAACACAATTATATTCAATAGAGAAAACCGTTCCGACTGTTTTTTTTTTTTAGATATATATATATTCAAAGTATCCAACAATTCCAGGAATAAGCAGAACTAAAAATAAAAAATCAATATTTTTTAAGCAAACAGAAAATCCCAACGCTGCGACAGTCACTCGACAACATTTGCCCAAATGAATGACCCTCTTTGTCATTCCTTAAATTCCACTTATATTGTATATTATAATTTAATAATTTAACGCGGGTAGCTATAATAGTTTTAGAAAAATAAACATTCTTATCGACGAATGGATGCCATATAGCCGACATAAGTGATGTACTTCAAAAGAGAAAGTGATCACACAGAGTAAAGACATTTTGCATTATCTATCAATAACCAATATTCTTGTATTCGAAATAAAAGATGAAAGAACTAAAAGCACTAGCCCAAGAATCATATAATCGAGTTAGAAGATTGTTAAACTTTATAGGCGACCCTTCGGTGATGAGCACTCGTGCGAAATCGATATCAGGCCGCTATCTTAGCAAATACCTAAAAAGTAAGCGAGCGATAAGAAAAATTGAGACAAGAAAAAGATTTAAAAGCTGAAATTCAATTGCAATATCCAGTCAGTTTTCAGCTGGTTATAATGCAGTCAAAGTGGATCTACGGATTGCTGGTGTTTTTCCTCTGCAAAAGCATCACAGGATGGGCGGATGTTGAAGGGGTAAAGTTTTGAGTGTACTCATAAGATGGAAATTAGGAAATTAGCAAACAAAAATCTTCTTACAGCGTGTCATAATCGAAACGGACAGAACTGATATTCAAGAATTGTATTTGGATGGTCCGTATAGCCACTGTCCTATTGATTCCAGTGCCCATGGTATATATACAATACAGGTAGGGGAACTAGATCCCTTCCCAGTGTTCTGCAATGCAAAGATGGCGGGTCCTGGCTGGACTGTGATCGCCCGTCGAACCAACAAGGAGCTGAATTTCTTCCGCGACTGGGATGGGTACAAGAGAGGATTTGGTGACATCACAGGCGACTTCTTCATAGGATTGGATAAGCTGCACGCCATTACAAAGTCACAGAACCAAGAGCTATACGTACACCTGGAGGACTTCGAGGGGAACACGAGATATGCCAAATACGATGAGTTCCATATCGAAAGTGAAAATCAATTATATCGAATGTCAAAGTTGGGCGCCTTCACTGGAGATGCGGGTGATTCAATGATTGAGAACAAAAATCAAAAATTTTCCACCTACGACAGGGACAACGATAATGATAAGGTTAACTGTGCAGTTGAACGCATGGGAGCCTGGTGGTACAACTGGTATACCTGGCGTACCTGGTATGTCTGTACATTTTCTATTTGAATGATTGTTTCTAAGCGCACAATTTCAGTACCCTTTTCGGCATTTATGTGAATGGTACCGTATCCAGCATGAACAACAAGGGAATAAGTTGGGTTTCTTGGGGCGGATCTGGCTATTCCTATAAATCAATTCAAATGATGGTTCGTCCAAAGTGCTCTTGCCCTATTAAGAAATAAAATAAATATTAAACTACATGCAACATTCCTATGATTTCGTTATATTCTGAACATAATCCATTCTTCGTTCTGTACTCTACGCGCCTTATAAATATAACCTGTTGACCAGAATTATTGTTCAATTAAATACAACAATTTGTAATCTTTGGAAACATTTTAGAGCCACCCTCGTACACCATTTTCCCGTTTCGGACCGTTTATTTTATTGCTGTATTATATTTTCGCTGCAAATGTTAAAAAACAGCAACACTTGAAATTTGTTTGTATTTTTGCCAAATGTGGCACGTCACCAGGCTCCTTCCTGCACCCGCAGCATCCATTCACATTCAGTGCAGGGATGTCCTGTGTGCAATGGCCAACCATCGCAGTCCAGTATATCCGCATGTCCTGCAGCCAATTGCTGTGGTAACTGTCCATTGGACATTGGCTTATCTCTGGCCAGAACCCGAACCCCAACCGCCAGGCCAAAGATTTATATACTGTTGCCAAGCGGAACTATTAGAAATAACTTGGTATCCATAGAGGGGCGAGACATGGCCAAAAAGGATGAACCAACCATTGGCATTGGGTGAAACAAAAAGGGTAAATGTTGTATCTTCTCCACACAATAAATGTCTTTCAATTTAAATGCAAAAATTTATGGCCAAACACAAGCCACAAAATGTTTCATTTCATTTGAATTTCCTCAACTGAATTTTTGCATGCCAAGAATTTTTTGTTCTTTCGAGATTTCATTTAAAGAAGAGATTTCGCTGTGTGGTCGAGGGCAATTATGGTTACTGCCAGCAAATCGCACTGTGCAAATAAATCAGCTTTATTACAGAGTCTAAGAAGTACCTACATACAAGTAGGTATATATGGGGCAGGCCGGTGTATAGCGCCATACTTACAGCTGAGCAAAGTATTTCATTTGACTTATTGTTGACAAGCTTTTAAATAAATTGAATTTACTGACAGCCACGGCAACAGGATACGGTAGCGAATACGCGATGAGAGGACGAGCGAGAACCATCAGCGACCTGCTTTGCTCTCACTTGGCAAACATTTGCAAAAAGATTTACGAGCCGGTCGGACCACGCTCTCTTCCACCTTCCACCTGACCCGACTCCACCTGCTGCCACCACTCGTAATGCCAACAAACTGCAAATTGCTACAAAATCACTTGACTGTACACTTTTATAGCATCTTTTTCGCCATGCAAAGGAAAACAAAGCCACAAACGCTTTAACTGGGTGGGAAACGCAGTGAACAAAAATGTTCTGAAAAACGGTTTCACTTTTCATTGGGCTACGGTTTTGTTTTACAGATAATAAATTTAAGATTTAGCCATTGAATATATAATTTTAATCAGTTTTATGTGATCTTTGTGATCAAACGTGGGAAACAAAATAATTTCTTTCTCATTCGCAGAAACAGAAAGAATATGTTAGAAATACACGATTAAGACATGCTCTGGGCAGTAATTTCTCCTTTCTTTTGCTTGCATTTTCATTAAAGCTTAATTTCAAATCGTATTTTGTCTTTAACGTATTATTATTCCAAATGATTTCCATTCCTATGGACATAATAATTATCTATATTTCTATATTTTATCTTAACTGTACCCTCTTATAAATATACATATAGAAAATGTTTGCCAGAACAACTTAAAAAAATGGAAATTATGAAGAGGATTCCTTTTATGCGGTCGACTCTACTCGACTCTTCTCAGTGGGGCAAAACGAAGCGAAGCCAGCAGCAATACAATTGTCAGCCACAGTGCCCCCCCGCATTGTCAGTCAGGTTGAACATTTTGTTGTTGCTTTTAATGTTGCTGTTGTGGCTGCTCCTGTTGTTGGTGGCAGTTAAGAGAGCTCTTCCAATGCGTTTTATGGCATTGCGAAAGCATTTGGGTGGGGGCTTAACCTCATCTGTACATCTGTCCATCTGTCCTTTGGCCTTTTTTTTTTGTGTGGCTTTACGGCTATTTTGCATTAAATTGCAAATTGCAAATAAAAAAAATCTGCAAAAGGTAAAGCGCTAACACCAACACCAACACCAACGAATAGTCCATTGTGTATTGTTATGCTGGCATTTTAATTGAAGTTTTTTTTCTCCACTCAAACAACACGCAGCAGTCGGATCTCATCAGCAGATCCCACCTACCCATCTGTGTGTCTGTGTGTATCTCTGTGCCGTGTGTTTCAGAACATTAAAGTGTTAAATGTCTGTTTGTTTTACCCATGTCGTGACGTGCATATCAAATGAATGAATCAGCTTCTCATTTTGGGGTCACATTCCCCGACTGTTACGCCAGGAATATGACACCTGAGAGCTTCACCACCCCCTGAGCTAAGAGAGAGGGAGAGTGAGAAAGAGAGCGACGTGTCCTGTCCTGGGGAGTGGCGTCGTGTAGTGTCCAGAGCTGGTTTGGCCAAACAGATGTCGGAAATAGTTGTGGCTGGGGCTTAATTGGTAAAAGGAAGTTCTGAACATGGAATACTAACTAGCGGCATGGCCCACAGGGCCTCAGCTTCAGTGGGATTATTACGCATAAATGGAATGGATAGGGCTCATATCATATACTTTGAGCGGAAACAATTTTTCTACCGCTCTGATAAGCTCTGACAAATGGAATCCTATTGAGGCTCGGAAACAATCTGCTTGGTTTGTGGCACCTTTAAAGGATACCCTCTGTTTGGATGGATTTTGTGTGGAATAATGGATGAACATATGCGGTTATATAAATGCTGGATGCATAGTGTCTTTTGAAGATCATCGGGGGCTTATCATGGATACTATGAATCAATTTTTGGTATGTTAGTTTGCTGAACAAATGTGGCATAAGGGATTGCCATGATTGGAATAATATATAACGAAAAAAAGTCATTTATCGCGGAGTAGATTTAAAAAGTACTCAAAATCAATGAGCAAATTAAAAATAATAATACAAAATTATAATAAAAATTAATAATAATAATAATAAAAATTAATAACATAAAATAATAATACAAATTAATAACATAAAATAATAATAAAAATGAAATAAAATACTGCTATAAAAACTTTATTAAGACACACGTCAAAATAACAGCAAAATACTTGTGAAACATTTAGTAAAAAATATATTGTATAATACTATATCAAAATAAAATAATATAAAATACCATAAATATTATAAAAAAAGCTACAAAAACATTTATATATGAAAGAGCATTTTAAATAAAATAAAACCCCCCAAAATATTAAAAATAATATACATATAATATAATATATGCTACATATATAATATATAATATATAAACATTTTTTAAAGTACCAAAGAAAAGTCCCTGAGATCAATGAAAATAGACTTTTACTAGTCACACGTTAATACGTTGACTTTAAATAGTTTTCATTCCTTTAAATATAACGACCCATCTTTCGTACCAATCGATTCGCATAAATTTGCAGCCATCAAAATCGCCTTAACTTTAATATTTTAAGCTTTAGTTGTAAACCCAACAGGCTTACGGACACTTTCAGGTGCCTTGAGTTGCACACTTCATAAATAAACAATTAGGACTCCAACAAGGACTCCGACGAGGACGCCCAACTAGATGTGGCTGACATTTGTGTAGGTTCACAAGGAATAACTATTAGGTCCGACTACTAGTTCAACGACCATTAACCTTTTCCCTTATTCCCTTCTGCACTTTTTTTTTTTTTTGCATTGCTAATCGCACCACTCCTGTGATGGGCCTTTGGCATTGCCCTTGTCCAACTGTCGCCCACATAATAAGCGTTTAATAACCACTAAGGGCCGTTGTATTTGTCTGGGCTTAAAGGGCTGCCTTACCCGTTTGTTCCTTTTCCCTTTACCCAGTTAAACATATCAAAACAGTTTCCGCTTCTGGCTAAATTCTCTTTCCAATTTCGACTACCAAAAACTTCTCTCGTTTCTTGTGAAAATAAAGCGGAAAACTTACGCATTATTGTTGTTCCCTGTGTTTGGCCTTAATGGAGGATTGGGATTGGCTTTGTGGGTCGGTAGGGGGGGTGGAGGGGCCTCGTTTGTCTGCAAAGTTTTTGGAGGTTTTGCAAATATCATTGCGTACCTTGCGGCGCCTGTCAGCTTAATCAAATATGCAATGCACCGGGGCCGACTCTTGTGGCATGAGTCCTGGCAATGGCAATAAGTGTCATGGGAGTCACGATGGGAGCCACCGAACGGTGGAGGACCTTCGCTCACGGTATCCACCTAGCGGCAGGGCGCACACTTCAAATGTCAGTTAATAAATTGCAAAACGTTTTTCTGCGAATCGACAAACCAACTGCACTTAATGTCACCGACATACACTCACTCACACACACACACACACACACACAGACACATCCGTACTCGTACTACCCATCGAGACAATGAAGTTGCCCCTGTTGACATGGAGCGCCGTGACGACGACGACGACGATGCCGACGACAAGGACAAGGACTAGGATGTCGAGGTGCTCCTGCTCCTGCTCCTGCTGCAACTCGATGCGTCGCTTCAGACATTTACAAATAAACAGCGCTAAATTATAGGTGCCTTGTGGGCGAATAACAGGGATACCTGTGCGCCTTTCCCTTAACCTACGAGTATCCCTATTTCTCCCTTGCCCTTGTAAATAATATGGCAGAGGGAACACCTGCCAACGGCGCGCCGTTCTCGTCGTTTGCCGTTGCTGTCTAACTTTTAACTACAACAATTACAGGAACAACAGCCAGAGGAACAGCTACCAACTTGGTTACCAATTACAGGAGGCACACTCCACGAATAAGTTGTCATCGAAGATTGTAGACTCTTTGTGGGAATTTGTAGGCGTAACAGACTATAATTTATAGGCTAAATAAATGTATAATTTTTTCTCTGATCGATTTATATAATTTTGTATCCATTTAATCCAATGTTTAATTCAATATTCAGTTGATTATGAATTGTGTCACAAGTTATCGATATTACAGCACGATAAGAAATCATTCGTTTCCATCGTTGTGCTGAAATT